TTCATTCACACACACACCCCTTCTAGTGAGCACTTACCATGGGTCCAGGCACTATATCAAATACTTCACACGTATCAACTTTTTCAGTTCTCACAAGAGTCCAGTGAAGAAGCAGCTATCCTCATTTTACAGAAGGGGAACCCCAAACAGAGAGATTGAATAATTTGAATAATTAGCTAATAAGTGATAGAGTCAAGTTTCAAACCAGTCGGTCTGATTTCACAGATCATGTTTTAAACAAATATACTACCTCCCAGTTGCCTAATCCTGAAACTTGTTCATGCTTCCCCACAGCCAGGCACTCTGCACTTGGTCCTGCAACCAATAGGTTCCTCCTGTTTGGCCCTCTTTTCCATTTTCACTGATACTACTGCACTTTAGTCTTCAATGACACTTACTTCCTCTCTCATCTATTTACCTATCACTCTCTTGCTCAAAAATCAGTGGCTCACAGTTCTCCACTGCCTATAGGATAAAGTCAAAACTCTCCAGCCTCAACTACCACCTCTCTTCTTCACAGCCATCATGTTCCAGTTAGAAAGGATATGTATCTTACTTTTTTGACTGGCCAGCATCTAAACTCTTTCTTTTTTTTGAGCTGGAGTCTGTCACCCAGGCTGGAGTGCAGTGGCACACTCACAGCTACAGCAGCCTCCACCTGCTGAGCTTAGGTGATCCTTCTACCTTAGCCTTCCAAGTAGCTGGAACTACAGGTGCACGCCACCATGCCCAGCTAATTTTTTTATTTATTGTACATATGAGGTCTTACCAAGTTGCCAAGTGGTCTCAAATCCCTAGGCTCAGTCAATGCTCTTGTTTCCACCTCCCAAAGTGCTGGGATTATAGGTGACCATACCCAGACTAAATCTAGCCCACTAGCCAAATTCTTATGTTTGGAGAAATCCCTGCCTCCTAATGTAGAAGTTGAAAATGTCAACGTATCCTTTCCACACCTCCTCTGCAGTTAGCACCTAGTGCCATGCCCATCAGGTACATCAGACTTTGTGAACTGGAAAGTAGGGACCATGGAGAACTCTTCCCCACAGAAAGAACAGTTTCAAGAAGATTTGAGTTCTAGGGCAGCACTCAGTGTCCAGGGTCAGATGTGTTCCACAGTACAAGTACAACCTATCCTCTGTTGGCAGCAGCATTTTCCTTATGATTCCTCGCTGAAGTAACTAGTATAGTCAGCAGGACAGATCAGGCTGCAGGGCTCCACAGCTGTTGTTTCAGCATCATGGTGATTCTTTTACTTTTTATTTTTATTTTTTGCATTGGAGTCTTACTCTGTCACCCAGGCTGGACTGCAGTGGCACTCACGGCCACTGCAGCCTCAACCTGCTAAACTCAGGCAATCCTTCTGCTTTAACCTTCCATGTAGCTGGAACTACAGTCACGCACCACATGCCCAGGATAAGGTCTCAGCAAGTTGCCCAGGCTGGTCTCGAACCCCTAAGCTCAGACAATCCTCTTGTCTCTGCCTCCCAAAGTGCTGGGATTACGGGCATGAGCCACCATGCCTGGCCAACACAGTGATCCTGTATTCTACCCAGCATCCTTTTAAAAAATCCCCTTTTGGCTTAAATCAGCCAGTTTGGCTGTTTCCAAGTAAGCACTCTGACTGGTAATTCAGTCAAGCTGGATACCTCACTTACTTCAAAAAATGACTTTTGTTTCCCTGCCTCATACAACATTGCCCTGTTTCTTTCAACTTGAATTTTCCTCTGCCTTCTCCATTAGTCAACATCCTTCCTATCCTTTAATGCCCAGTACAAGTTCTACTTTCCCCATAAATATAACACCTAACACTTACTGAGCACTTTCTAAAAGGCAGGCACTCTTCACATTTAATCTTCACAAGAACACTAGGAGGTAGATATTAACATCAGCCCTAGTCTACAGTTGAGGAAACAGCAGCAAAAAGCAATGTGAGTAAATTGCCCAAGGTCACACAGTTAGTGAAAAGTGACAGAGCCTGAATCAAAATCCAGGAAATCCAACTCCAAAGCCCTTCCCTTTTTGGGGAGGGGGCATTGGAGTCTCACTCCATCACCCAGGCTAGAGTGCAGTGGCACGCACACTCACTACCACACCAATGTCGACCTGCTGCACTCAGGCAATCCTTCCGCGTCAGCCTTCCAAGAAGCCAGAACTACAGGCACGCTACCATGCCCAGCTAATTTTTTGATTTATTGTAGAGGTGAGGTCTCACCAAGTTGCCCAGGCTGTTCTCAAACCCGTGGGCTCAGGCAATCCCCTCACCTCGGCTTCCCAAAGTGCTGGGATTACAGGTTTAAGCCACCGTGCCTGGCCCACAGCCCTTCTCTTAACCAAGGATCAAGAAATCACAGCCCATGAGCCAAATCTAGCCCACTAGCCAAATATGGTTCACTGGTTTTTTGTTTGTTTGTTTTCCGAGTTGGAGTCTCACTCTGTTGCCCAGGCTGGGGTGCAGTGGCACGCTCACAGCCACCCCAGTGTTGACCCACTGGGCTCCGGTGATCCTTCTGCCTCAGCCTTCCAAAAAGCCAGAACTACAGGCACATGCTACCACACCCAACTAATTTTTCGATTTTATTGCAGAGATGAGGTCTTGCCAAGTTGCTCAGGCTAGTCCCAAATCCGTGGGCTCAGGCAATCCTCTCACTTCAGCCTCCCAAAATGCTGGGATTATAGGCTTGAGCCACTGCACCCCGTCCACCGTCTGTTTTTACACCCCCATGATCTAAGAACAGTTTTTCATTTTTGAAAAACCAAAATGGTAATATTACATGACCCATAAAACTATATGAAATTCACTTTCCACATTCAAATATAAAAGTTTTATTGAAACATAGTCAAATACTACGGCTGCTTTCATGCTACAAATGCAGAGCTGAGTAATTCTGACAGAGACAGTACGGCCCAGAAAGCCCACAAAGACTCAAATATTTGCTGTCTGACCCTTGAACAAAAAAGTTTAAGAGCTCATTTGTAACCACTACATTATATTGCCTCTCTTAAAAAGCCTTCCCTGATCCCTTACTTCTCCCAAGCTGAAAGAAATTTCCCCCCTCTCTGTATTTGCATGGCATTTACATTACATTTCTTTTTCTTCTTAGCAGACTAAATTCATTGAAGGCAGGAAGTAATCTTTTGCACTTTGTATTCTCCTTGGTGACTCATTTACTTTTGGCAATCAATAAATGCTTGCTGATTTTCAATAAAATACTGCAGTGTGAACTTTTAAACAGATTTCATTTACATGATATGATTCATTAACATGAATATGAATATGAACATGAATATGAATCATAGAAATCATAGACTGGACTCAATATTGGCAGGATGGGTAAAAACAGGCACCCTCAACTACTATTATTAGGTGTACAAATTGAGATAACCTTTCTGAAGGGCAGTTTTGCCTTGTTCATTGAATACCATGAAGGTATGCATTTTTTTTCTTTTTTTTTTTCTTCTTCTTTTTTTGGGGAGTTCTGTTTGTTTGTTTGTTTTGAGTTGGAGTCTGAAGTCTCACTCTGTTGCCCAGACTGGAGTGCAGTGGCCGCTCCCAGCCACTGCAGCCTCGACCTGCTGGGCTCCGGCAATCCTTCTGCCTCAGCCTTCCAAGTAGCTGGAACTACAGGTGTGCGCTACCACACCCGGTTAATTTTTGATTTATTGTAGAGATGAAGTCTTGCCAAGTTGCCCAGGCGGGTCTCAAACCCGCGGGCTCAGGCAATCCACTCACCTCAACCTCCCAAAGCACGGGATTACAGGCTGAGCCACCGAGCCCAGCAAGGTGTGCATTTCTTAGGACTCAGAATTCTACTGCTGAAAGTTTAGCCTAAGAAAACAAGCAGACTAGCACGCAAAAAATTATGCAATAATAGTCATAAGAGTTAACACACTTACTAAGTACATATTACATTTCAGGCACTGAATTAAACCATTTAAATGCAGAACCCTTACAGTAGAGAGTACTTACAACGCTTAGAGTAAACACTGTAATTAATTAGCCTTGTTGCATAGATAATAGAGACTTGAAAGGTAAAATAATGTGTCCAAGGTTAAGGGATTACAGATGACTTTTTTTTAAGTTGATTTTGATGTTAGTCTTTTCTAAATTTTCTACTGCAATAAGCATGTATTAAATGTACAACTTTTTACAGTAGTAAGATAGCACAGAAACCTTACTCCTGCTATTTTTTTCTTTGGAAATTTAGGAAAGTTGGGCATGATGGCTCACACCTGTAATTCCAGCACTTTGGGAAGCAGAGGCAAGAGGACTGCCAGAGTCCAGGGGCTCAAGACCAAAGCTGGGCAACTTGGCAAGACCTCATCCTACAATAAATCAAAAAATTAGCTGGGCACGTGGTGCCAGCTACTTTGAAGGCTGAGGTGGAAGGATCATCTGAGTCCAGCAGGTTGAGGCTGCAGTGGTCATAAACGTGCCACTGCACTCCAGCCTGGGGGACAGAGTAAGACTCTTACTCAAAAAAAAAAAAAAAAAAAGGAAATTTAGGAAAAATAACCCAGAACAAAACAAGCAGATATTCTTTTTCTTTTACTTTGAAAAATATGGAAAGTCAACATCCTGGACTTTGAAACAAGAATACTATTTACTCACAAAAAAACAGCCTTGAGAACAATATTCTAGATCCTATGTGCTTCCCACATAGGCTCCCTCAGCCAGTTCATGATTTTGGCAATATGCAAGTAGTCTGAAAATTATGTTGTGGCTTGTACTATATAAAGACTCTTTGGACATGAGGATGGATTCATTTATAATCACTGCAATTTACAGAGGAAGAGTCTTACCCTCTATGCAAATCTCCAGGGGTATTACACACCCCAAATCACTAAGTTTGGGGCTTTTCTGGATTCAAGTAGTTCTGCCTCCAACCCCAAAACACTAGTCAATGATTTCTTTCCATATCTACACTGAAAGGCAAATGCTTCCAAACCAGGTCTATTAAATGCTAAGATGGTCATGTAAAAACTCCCAAGTCACACCTTACCTCTTCTGGCACAATAATTAATGGATACTTGTCCTCAGATAAAAAGTTGAAAAGAACCCATACTTTAAATGCATCTTCTTCCGTAATGAGCAGGGGACTCTTTGTGAGGTTTTTTTTGACACAGAGGGTCCAACACATCCTATTGAATTCAACCTTGTCAAAGTTGTCTTGGACCTGGAAAGAAATGAAGAAAAATTCTAACAAATCAGTCCAAAATAAGCAGTATGTACGGCAAGTAATAAAGACAACGCCTACTTCAGGCTTCCATTTTAATCAACCTAATTAACCATATCCTATATTACTCTAGGTACTACATTTTCATGTTAAGGAGACAGGACTTTATCTGAACTGACAGAGTTAAAGGGAGTAACAGACACAAGACACAATCTTCATTTTTAAAGCCATACTCTGAGACAATATGGAAGATGTACTAGAGAAGGCAGGAATGGGTAGCAGAACAATATGAGCAAAGCATTTCTGTAACCGAGCACCTTGCTTTAAAACGTTTTTAAAAGTTTTTACTTTTTCTTTTCTCTCTCTCCCTCTTAAAATGTAGCCTTGCCCACCAGACAGTCCCTTGCAGTGTGCTCACTTACATAAATACATGTTTGCTTAGTAGTTCCAGGGGCTAATCTTGAAACAAACCAGATGACAATGAACTTTCCCCCTTCAGGAGACTCCCTCAAGGCTGTGGTTAATGTGTGATTCCAAGATGGTGGCAGCCCATGGGGCAACACCAGATGGAGCAATAACTCAAGATAGTCATCAGAACAAGTCATGTGACCAGTATCCACGGTCATTCCCACATGCTTCCCATACCAAGTACCCTTTTATAAACTTCTTCACTGACACCAAGGTCTGCTGGATATGAGCCTGGCCATTTCCTGTTGGCTTTTGGAAGAAAGTCACTTTCCTTTCACCGTCTCTCGTCTCTGAGTTTGGTTTTGAGCAGTGAGCAGCTGAACTTTCAGTTACAAATTTGGTGCCCTGAGGAGCTGCACACTGCAGGTGGCTTAGCCTGTCTGCCTGGTTACCGACAGAGCAACTGCCTGTGGTACAGCTTCCCTGTCCATGCTACAGGGCAAGGTGACAACTGCTGGTAAGCACTGGTTGTTTATGGCTATCAGACCCTGTGGCTGGGACTCTCGGGACTTCCTGGTCGCTGCAATACACTTCTGTCTAAGGGATTCTCCCTTCTTCACCTTCACGACACCAGCTGTCTATTACATATCACTACTGCAAGGAAAGTGACACCAGAGGAGTTGATGCTCTTTGGAACTGGGTAAGTCACCTGGAATTCTCTGTCTCTGCTAAGGTGCCACTTGGGCTCTGCTCCTTTGGACTTAGCCATTCAAGGCACTATCTAGGCTCTCATGCCTTCTTTGGTGACCTAGCTGCTTGAGGGGCCATCTGAAGCTAGGATGAGAACTCAGGACTTTCACCAGCCCCTTCAGTGGGGAACAGTGAGAGCACTCCATTGGTCTGAATCTATAACTTTGTGTACTCCCATCTACTTTTGAGCCCTTATCTGTCTGCCTCTTATTATTCTTTTCTTCTAAGATAACTTACTCATCCTGCTCCATCTGGGAATTCAGCCTTGAAGGGAACAGCTCCCATCATCCTGGTCCTGACTTGATTGTCTTCTTTAATACTTCAAAGTATTTCTTGGAAGTGTGTCAAACTTTGTGGGGGAAGGAAGCATATGAACTATTCTGCAGGTTGTCTAAATGAGCCTGCCACCCTCCTGATGGTTCTCAGTGCTGTTTATGTGAGAATAAGATCAAAACCACCTGGGACAGGTCTTTGAACCATCCCAGTTCTCTTTTTCCCTTTTTGTCTGTTTGGCCCATTATTTGGTCTGTTGTTTTTGTTTCTGTTTGGAGAAGTATTAAATATAAATAACACCTGAAATTGGGGCAAGGCCTATTAATTAGGAAAAGCTATACAGGTGATCACTGGTCATCAAGCCTACTTGGGGAGTTTATGCCCTAATGTCCCTGGCCCTGGCTGTTTTGACTGTGCGGTCAAACTTACGTGGGCACACTGGGACTATGAGTGATATTTGCAAAATTGGTTGTGTCAGGCCAAAAGAGTCTATCTAGCCTCTGGCGATTTGGTTGGGAGAGACAACTAGTATAAGCACAGACACAGAATCAAGATGGGCAACAAAATCTCTATCCTGTCCAAAAGCCCCCTGGGTACATTTTAGCTGACTGGAAGACCTACAGCTATAAGCCTATGACTAAGAGAAGAGTGATTTGCTATTGCAATACTGTCTGGACTATGTATAGACTGGATGATGAAGAATATTGGTCTCTAAACGGAAGCACTGATATTGGACCCTAATGCAATTAGAAGTGTTTTGTCAAAAGTCGGAAAATGGGAAGAAATGCCTTATCTGTTACCAGCTTCTTCTCATTGTGAGACCAAAGTCATGTTTAAAAACTCCCCAAGCAGGCTTGATGACCAGTGATCACCTGTACAGCTTTTCCTAATTAACTTCAGGTATTACTTATATTTAATACTTCTCCAAACAGAAACAAAACAGACCAAATGATGGACCAAACAGACAGAAATGCCTTATGTCCAGGCTTTCGTGTTGCTGTAAAACCAGGACTCCGGTCAGTGATGAATATACTGTAGGCTGTACAGAGGAATGGGAAGAAGGTCCTTCCCAAATCAGACAGTCAGACACTGGAGGAAAAAGATGAGGAAGAGATGGGCCTCTTAAACACCCAAAATCCAGAGCTCCAGCACCTCAGCCTCACTGGCTGTGGGTATCCTGGCAGTCCCTCCCAAAGTGGCGTCGATGGCCACTTGGGTGACTTTGCCCATGGTGGTTGTGCCATCCCCAACATCTGTGGATACTGAGGCAACTACGCACGCCCCTGTGGCTGTTTAACCTATGCTGCCTCAGCACCAGATCCGAAGAAAGGGATGACTGTCCCACTTCCACCTCAATATCATTAAGGATTTGGAATGGTTTCCCTTTCTAAGGCCCGATGAGGCACCCAATTCAGACAGGGTAATACTATGACCAGAGTAGGGCGACACCCACTTAGGCGAGTCCCAGTGGGAGGGCTGAACCCAGAGGGGCAGTCTGCTGGGTATTAATCGACTTACTGCCATTCCCAACATCTGACTTACTAAACTGGAGAAGATTCAACCCACCTTATAGAAAGGACTCACAGAAAATGACTGATCTCTATGAATTCATCTTTGCTACCCATCAGACTACTTGAGCAGATGTTTGATCTTTTTAAACGTGACTTTGGGCTCAGATGAGAAGCAGCTGGTAACAGATAACGCAAACGAAGAGGCTTAGCACCTTTGTAAAGTAAACCTGAATGAAACCCCCAACCTGGCTAGGGAGATCCAGCTGTGAATCCTAACTGGGGACCTCCATCATGATGCGGATACAGCCCAGATGGATCACTACTGAACATGTATCCCAGTGGGACTAAGAAGGGGAACACTGAAGCAAAAGAGCTTAAACGAAGTTCAGGCAGTCATCCAAAAGGCCAGTGAGGACTCCCTTGAATTTTTGGAGTACATTTACCAAGCCTACTGCAGATACAATGATATAGCTCCCCCCAAATTTTATGATGGTAAATATGACCTTCACCCAGCAGAGTGCTTCCTGATATAAAAAGAAAGCTAAAGAAACAAGAAGGAATGAATTCTTCTCAGCAGATTCATATACATTTTAAAATATACAATGCCAGGGAAGCAAAGAAACAAAAACCAGCCACAATATACATGGAAAGAGTAAGAAAACCTCCACAGCAGAAAAAAGACAGAAATCAAGGCAAGCCTTTGGGCCACAATTAATGGGCATATTGCAAAGACAAGGGCCATTGGAAGGCTTACTGCACTAAGGAAAAAGAATGGAAGGGTCAGGAAACAATGAATCCATCCAGGTAAAGACAGAAGGAAAAACAAAACTATGACTCTGATAGCAAATAGGGATGCCCTGGGGGCACCCCTAGACCTCTCACAGCCAATTAAAAATTCTCCCCATGAGTCTGGGTACAATTAATAGCGGGAAACAAACATTGATTTCCTGGTCGATAATGGTGCCACTTATTCAGTCCTTAAACAACTGGACCAGGCCAGGTCCAGTGGCTCATGCCTGTAAACCTAACACTTTGGGAGGCTGAAGCAGGAGGACTACTTGAGCCTAGGAGTTGGAGACCAGTCTGGGCATATAGCAAGACCTCATCTCTACAAAACAATAAAAAAATTAGCTAGGTGTGGTGGCACTAGCCTGTAGTCCCAGCTACTCAGAAGGCCGAGATAAGAGAATCACTTGAGTCCAGAAGGCTGAGGCAGCAGTGAGCTATGATTGTACCACTGCACTGCAACCTGGGTGATGGAGTAAGACCCCAACTCAAAACATTTAAATAATAAAATAAATCAATAAAATAAGCTAATGTAAAATATCTTTAAAAAAAGCAAAAACAAAAACTGGACCCACAACTCGAGGGTGGACCCCCTGTCTCTGAACAGTGGCTGCTCCCTGTGAAATCTTACAGGAAGTGGAAAAGTTTACCCTAGGGCAGCCAATCACTGTGTTCATACCTCATCAGGTGCTGATTCTGCTAGAACAAAAAGGTTACTGGCTTCCTCCAGGGTGAATAGGCAAGTATCAGGCCATCCTTCTGGATGACTCGAATGTCACTTTGTAAATCACTGCAGGTCTAAACCCAGTCACTCTGCTTCCAGCCCCGGAGCTCGATTAGAGGTTGGAACATGACTGTATGGAGATCCTTGATGCGGTTTATTCTAGCAAGTCAAACCTGTCAGATTAGCCAATGGATGCCCCAGACTGGGAAATGTGTACTGATGGAAGCAGCTTCATGGAGGATGTGCAAGGCAGAGCTGGGTATGCTGTAGTAGCCGCGGGTAAGAAAATAGAGGTTTGCACCCTCCCTGCTGGCAACTCTGCCCAAAAGGCCAATCTGTTTGCTCTCACTAAGGCTTTAGAGCTGCCCCTAGGAAAGTGAGATAATATCTACATTGACTCTAAATATGCCTTCATGGTAGTACATGCTTCATGGGGTTGTCTGGAAAGAGAGAGGACTTCTGACATCAGGAAATAAGTACATCAAACATCCAATAGAGATTCTGGCCCTAAAGGAGGCGGTCCCGTTGCCTGCTCAAGTTGCTATCAA